AGACTGTACATTCTCATGCAAAATTTGACTCTACTAAATATAAATAAGTGGGCCACGCGATATGAGTTGCATTACTTCAAGGGGAAACAGTAAAATTAATAATTTTATTTCTACAAAACGTAAACACATTTAAGATTGTTAGATGTTCATGTTCAACACAATTTACAATTCTAATGCACTTCTGCTGTGTAAATATGGACAGTTATTGAAACAATCACATTGAAATTAATAACACTCGCCTTGAATAAATTAACACACAACCTTTAACTTTTTTTCATTCATTATCGATGCAAAGTGTCTCAAAACCTCCCTATACAAGGGAGGCTTGATACATTGAATGGGAGGTTTGATACAATAAGAAATTAAATATAAAACACTAAAAGGACTGCAATCTATTATTATCAGAACATTATTTAATTAATACATAATTCACAAGAAAACATTTTTGTATTATGCTTGACATCAGCACAGGCTGAATGGCACCATCTGAGACATTTCTGGCATTGGATCCACTTTTCTCTAGAACGAGACGCTGAAAATAGTGAATTGCAGTAGATGCAAGCGGCATCGTCATCGTCATCTGCATCAGAAAATGGATCCTTTTCGTCCTCAGAATCCGAGTCACCGAACACACGTTTTTCTGTTTTTGCATTTCTATCCAAAACTTTTCTTTTGGGTTGGGATTCCGTACTCTCAGCATTGAGTTTTTCAAAGTGATTATTTTCTCCAGTTTCACTACTTATTTTTCGTTTAGCCATTTCAACTTTAGTTTTCATACGTTTTTTTCCTTCCCTCATATTATACTCGGCCTCAATGGCCTCTTTTTCTGGGGTGTCGGTTAAGATTCTTGTCCGACCAGGCTTTCTGCCTCCTTTTTTCAATCGTGGTTGTGCCTTGGGATAAGGACGAACTTCTTCAGGAGTTTTAAATGAAACAGATGAGGTGCTTTGGATTGTGGTGCTATCCTGTAGAAACGTTTCTATTGGATTTGAAGTTGACTTCTGTTGACATAAAGAGGTGCCAGGTGGTGGTGTTGTCTCTTGCTGAGATAGATGTGCCAGGTTGAGCTATTGGGTCATCTCTATCGAGTTCTTTTTCAGAATTTTCCCTTAATTCCTCATATGGTCTGTTTGTAACTTCTGCTCCTGCGAAATCGAGATCTTCAAATAAATGTGGGTTAAAAGGATAAATTCCAGTGGTTGAAAATCCCTTGGTTATATTTGATGGCGAGAACGCCCTGACATAGGCTAATCCAACTAATTCCGGTATATTTTTTAATGAAATTGTTTGTCCTGGATGGCTGACCATCCATGCATCTGCCTGTTCATTATAATATCTTTTAAACGGACCAAAAACCGATACATCTAAAGGTTGTAAGCGGTGGCTTGTGTGAGGTGGTAAAGTTAGTAAATGAATGCCATTTAACTTACATTTGTCTAAGGCTTTGGGTGAAATATGGCTTTCGTGATTGTCAAGGACTAATATGCATTTGTTTTCATTGGAACATTTTGCGTGTTTTATGAAGTGATCTAGATATTTTACGAAATTATCAGCAGTCATCCAACCACTTTCATGCGTCACAGCAATGGAACCTGAAGGAGCACCTTGGATCATGTAATCCTGCATTCTCACACGAGGAAATATAAAAAATGGCGGCACAGAATTTCCTACTGCATTTATAGCACAACAAACTGTTACCAGAGTACCACGTTCTGCTGAAGTACTTTTTGAAATTTGTTTTTGGCCTTTACGCGCAATGATCTTTTGAGGTTTGTGGGCAGTAGTCACTCCAGTTTCATCTAAGTTGTACACGGATTCTGGGCCAAAAGTTTCCCGTTCCAATAAATTGCTCAAATTTTTGTAAAATTCTTGCACATTATGTCGATTGAACGCAGTGGCTCTGCCCAAACTAGTGGCTTCGGGACTTCTGAGTGATAATTGGGGATAACGTGACATGAATCCTTTTAGCCAATCGTAGGAAGCACATTCGTTTTTCTTCCAGTTTTCTGGTAGCTTTTTGTTATTTGCTTGACCAAATTCATACGCAAACTTCCTTGTTTGCTTAGGCGTAAGACCATAGTGGAGGTTGGCAGAAGTGAGCAAATATTCCACTAAAAGCGATTCTTCGTGACATGAAAAAATTTGTGAAGTGACAAAATTTGGTGTAAAAGATGTTTCTTTGTCCGTCTTGTATTTTAGGACATATCTTCTCAGTGTCATTTTGTCAACATTGTACTTTTTGGCAGTAGTCCTCAGTGCTTTATTTTCATTTACTACTTCAATAACTGCGCTTTTTAAATCGCCTGGAGAATACTTTGTGCGACCTTTAGATTTCCATTTAAACGGCATCTATAACAATATAGGTACCTACTTAATTAGCCTATATTATAATTGCCATGAAAATCACATAAATACTTGTTCAATAATTATAAATAAATAAATAAATACAAATAGGGAGGTTTGATACGCGTATCAACCCTCCCGATACAAAATGTATCAAACCTCCCGGAATGTCAATTTATGAAATACGTAGCATAAAAGTATTATAAACATTGGATTAAAGATCTGTACTGGTGCCCTAATATTGAAAATGAAATGCGCTTGAAGCATAATAGGACAGCATGTCCTTAATGTTGCTATTAAATCGCTAAATCCTTACGTTTGGTATCAAAAAACTTACATCGAATGGGCAGAAAACACACTATAACCTTGAAAACGTTCAAACAACACGCGATCGTTCTGGGATTCTATCACTAACTGTTTTTACACCCACTGTCTGCACTGCACGAAGTTAAGCCTTCTTTACGAAACCGAAGCGCGAAGTTTGAAGATGTATCAAGCCTCCCCGTGTATCAAACCTCCCCAGTCTCCCCTAATCATCATCGGAACTGCCGGTGTTCACAATAAATTGTACATTGTCAATAAATTCATTTCTCGTAGGAATGTTATTTGCTTCTAACCAAGAACGTATCACTTCCTTACGATTATTCATTGTTGGTGGTTTATTTATTTGAACACTGACGAGGTGCGTGAGTTTGCTGGTAAATTTTATATAAGCTGCTTTTCTAACCACTGCATAAAGTTGGTATGATTCATATCATCGTAATAATCCCCCGATTTACTGTGCGACATCCTCTACAAAACCAGAACGACTACCAGCATACTACGATGTACCTCTGACCAGCCCTATTATAAACTTCCGATACTTCATCTGATTGTTAGCATTTACTCACTCCGTACGATGGGTGAATATAGGTTTCGTCCAAGTATATAACGGGTTTCTTGTCACATTCAGGTTGTTCATTTTCTTTTAATCTTCTTAAATAAGGAGATGCCACACTACAATGTCACTTCTTTCCATTACCAACCTACGTTTGTCCCGACACTTCTTGTATCGAAAACCAAGTTTCAACAATTGCTTGCAAAGAGTTTTCCTTCCACCCATATATTTGATCTTTTCTTGCACTTTTCTAGGAGCATTTTAAAATAACCTTTATTTATGTACAGATCGTCGCCTACTAAACATTGAAATGGCGGTAAAGAGTATAATGTAATGGGCATGCTTAAATTATTACTCCAAAGCGTCTGTTTATTTACAAATGAATCTGAAGCATCTGAAAAGTTATTGCTGTTTTGTTTTGTGATTATGTAACTGAATGCAGCCAAAAATCGTGCTGATTCCCTTCCACGCACTGCGCATGAGTCCCAACGGCTCTGCCATTAAAAGTCGCCCACTGTAGTTGGAGTTATTTTTCCACGCGCAGGTCGTATGTACTGCCTCTCTATTTACTTATATACAACTCTGTGTGTTGTACACATGTGCAACATTTTGACGTCGCTCTTTTTTCTATACTTTAAAAATTTTTATTCAACCGCCCACCCCTATACTTACAACTACTCTATACGTAGTCATAGGGAGTTAAAATTTTACATGTAAAGCCGGTATATAAATTTTGGGACATATCTGATCATCCCTAACCATCGTAGGCCTAAGAACCCTACTCTAACCGCCCCATCACATACTTTAAGTAAGTATATTGCAACACCTTTCATTGAATCACTGTAGGTACTGTATTGCACTTATTTATTTATTTACCAGTGACGATGGAGTAGAGCATGAACCTAATACTTCTTGCGTATAAAATTTTTTAAAGATCAGTCGTGGGCCGCTTTTCGGAAAAAGAACCCTTATGGTTTCTTCGTCTAGCAAAGGAAAGCTTTCGTCTGTAATTCCCTCATCTACAAAACATATCATCAATCATAACATGACAATCAGACAATCGTTCTGAATATTGACTAACAGATTCCAATGCAATGCTATATAAATAACAGGACCAAGCAAGAATATGTTCGTAACTTCTACGCTGATGTACAAGTATAATTACACTCAAACCAAAGCTTTTTGTAATTTACTTTAGGTAGGTACTTCATGTCATTATATAAATTTAAGAATATACGCATATTAAGTGCAACCATTTTATCGTAATTGATTTAATCCTAATGCATGTATAATATTGTGCAATACTTGCCCATAAAAGATTCATAGAAGTGTTCCAAACCGCATTTCTTTAAAAAAGATTTCACCGTTTCCATTGTGGGTTTAGCAATTACATAAACACTCGATTTGATTGAATGAATATTTATCCAACTCCAAAGTAACCAATCGGCAATCCGTGAAATGTAAGAAACATATGGAACACGAACAACCAAAACAAAAGTCAAACTACAATCCTCTCCTACAATTTGTGCACAATGCAAAGTCGCGTTGACGCGTTCTTTTTCTTATCTTGTAGGTATGAAGGTATTTTCTTACGGCAGTCGTCGAATTATTGCGGATGTTGCCGATACGAATAGTTAATGAAATTTTTTAACGATGGTTAGGTGTTCGAAGTACAATTTGTAATAACTATTTTTATAACTTGTTTGTAATCAGCTTAATTGTGATAGTGATATGATTTGTAACAAAACTATATTATAAGTATTATTAACGTTATCGACTGTCATACTCACAATGAATAACTGACACAATAAAACCATAATAATAAAACGTAATTAGTAATCACAATGATTGCTGACGAATAGCTATAACTAAATGTTTATTACCATTATTATGATGTTTAATAGCTATTATTATTTTCATTTTAGTTAAAGTGTATAACTAGACCATTTCTTTCAGTGCAGCTAACATTAAAATGTGTTCTAACAATTTAAGAGAATTGAAATTACAAGAGGGAGAAGGTTTACAATATTCTCTACTTATTTCTGAAGACGAATATCAGCGCGCAACAACAGGTATTTCCCTTTAATACAGAGGCGAAGGTACAATGCACTAATGATTGGTTTTTAGATATAACATTCGCACAAGAACTTTTAGATAGTTATAAAAGTGCAGAAGATTTAGAGTCTCAACATTCAAGTGCATCAACCAGTTCTACTGCTGCACAAGCCAACAAATCTTCTTCCTCAAATGAGGCATTTTGGACGGATGCTGAGACAATATTACTAATATCGCTATATAATGACAATAAAGTCACATTTCAAAATGCAACAAAAAGAAAACATCTGTGGGTGATTATTTCGGAACAGATGGCAGCACATAACTATTACGTAAGAACTTATTGTAAAGTACATTTTAATATTTAATCACGAATTGTTTAGCGGGCTCCTGACAAACTCGAAAGAAAATGGACGAACTTAATGCGAGTGTACAGGTCCATTAAGGACAATAAAGGTCCAAGGAAAAGTGGACGAGGGGCTGTCCATTATAAGTACTTTGAACTAATTGATGAAATCCTGGGTGATAATAATAATAATAATAAATAGTCTTTATTGCATTAAGAAAGAATATATAAAAAAATTATGAAAATTAAATGCGGGGCGAGATTCAGTTACAGGGGGTAGCTTCCCTGTAGCTGCTCTTCCACCTAAACCCCACGATAGGACACACATTCTGGTGAAAACAAAATATATGGCGGTATAGATAAATATAACTCAACATGACTTTCAAAATTTTTCATTTCACACGAAAGATAATAATCTGAAGGACACTAAGTGGCCATTAGTAGTTTTTGTTTGACTTTACGTTTGAATTGGGCAGCTGGAAGTATGGAGATGCAACGAGGTAATCCGTTATAGAGGTTGGCAACTTGGTAAGTGAATGAGCGTTCGAAAGCAGTCGTTGTGTGCTGTGGTGGAGTAAGCAAACCTCTATAACGGAGATTCAAGTTGTGTACGTCGGTGCGAAAAGTGATTTTATTATACAGGTAAGATGGACTTTGATTCTGAATAATTTTATGATAAAGGCATAGTGACCTTAATTTACGTTCTCCCTTCATATCCAACCATCCGATCTCTTTACGTTTATGAGTGATGGGTGCTCCCCTTCTTATGCCAAACATTAGCCTCAAGCAAGAATTCTGTAACACTTGAATTTTCTTAGTATCACTAAACCGTAAACTAGAGTTGTATAATACATCACAATGATTCAGTTTTGAGAGGACTAATGTTTGGCATAACAGAGATTTGGTGGAATAATTTAACACTCTTCGGTTACTGTATATCATTTTTAGTGCTGCATAACCGTTTCGGATACACTGTGACACGTGAAGGGAATATCTGAGAGAGGGTTCAAACGTAACACCAAGATTTTTAAGATGACCACTGGGAGTTATTGTCTGATTTCCTATTAAAATTTCAAAATCTGTACTCACTTTATGTCTACCCACCAACATGACCGCAGACTTCCCTGTATTAATGGTTAAGCAGTGATCAGCAGAAGTAGCACAAATTCGTTTAAGATCTTCATTAATTAATTTAGCAGCTAACGTCGCGTTTTGATGCTTAAAAGAATAATAAAGCTGCATATCATCAGCATAAAGATGACAGGTAGTGTGCTGTAAAACTTCGGGAAATCGGGAGGTGTAAATAGTATAGAATAAAGGGCCCAGTATTGACCCCTGAGGGACACCTCTATTGATACTCATAAACTGGGACACTTTATCATTACATTTTACAGCTTGTTGGCGGTCTTTCAAGTAACTTTTGACTAGGTTTATCGCTGAGATATCAAAGCCAATATAATGTAAAATAGCCAAGAGGGTATCGTGATCGAGAGTGTCGAAGGCCTTGGAGTAGTCAATTAATACCAATGCGGTCACTAAACCATCATCCATAGCTCTAAATATATCATCTGTAACCTTAAGGAATGCTGTGCAACAACTATAACCAGGTCTGAATCCGGATTGTATTTCAGGTAATATATTGTAAACGGACAAATGCCTTCTGATTTGATTTTCAAGCACCTTCTCAAGTACCTTGGAGAGGGCTGGTAGAATACTGATGGGTCGCAAATCTCCAAAACTTTTAAGATCCTTCTCAGTGACGCGTTTACGCATAGGCGCACTAGGCGCACGCCTAGGGCCTCGTAATTTTAGGGGCCCCAAATTTATGCTTTTATTGCACATTTTACACATTGCGATTGCTTGTTTTAACAGTAGCAAAGTCGCACCTTACCGGAAAATCTAATGCATAATCTAATCCATGATGAGTGATGAACATTTAAACAAAGTGGAGTGGAAACCTTTCCTGCAATCTTGCGATGGAGAGGGCGACTAAGCGACTTAACTTACGGCTTTCCACTAGTATTGTGCCGTGAGCCGTGTGCGAAAGATAGGTACTGTCTTAACGTGTAACGTGTTCATATTCATATATAAATTGCAAAGTGTACGTATATAATACTAGGTACTACGACACGCTAATTATTAAAGCAAACAGGTAGATTACATTCAAATAAATTTAGTATTATAGTAAGCGGCAAAGCATCGTTTTTAATAACAATATGCTATGCCCCCACTTCGACTTGGAGTGATTGATTATATTAAAATTTTAGAGAAACCGGAAACAATATGAAACGCCGCTATGAATCTGGAGCAGCAAAACGAAAGAAGCGAGAAGAAAGAGAAAATATTAATGCCCAACACAGGAATTCTTTACAATCATTTTTAGTACACAAAGAAGTCAATACCGCGGATTCCGATACTACCACAGAACGCATACCTATAACTGTAACTGAACATTCGCAACCAGAAATAGAAATAATAAAATACGATCAACAAACAGCTTCTTGCTCATTTTCAAACGAAAAAGGGGAAACAAACGCAAACCATGATAATTATAACTTATTGGACATATCCCAATGGCCCGACACGTTAACGGAAGATATGATACAACAAGTTTTAAATGAAAAACCGAAGGATATTGGAGATCCGACAAATTCGGGAATATTGGTTAAATATCGTGACAGAACTTACATTCGCCATTTATCAGAAAACAATTTTTACCGAACGAAACCGAATGGAACGAAAGAAAAACGTGAATGGCTAATCTTCAGCGAAACAAGTGGTAGTGTTTATTGCTACATATGCAAAATGTTTTCAAAAAAGAAAACACAGTTTTTTTCTGGTTGCTCTGACTGGAAGAATATATCCGCAAAGATTTCCGAACATGAAAACTCGAACGATCACAGATTGGCAATGTGTATTTTCTGTAAGCGGTCTCGCTCTGAAGGTCGAATTGACAGTGATATACTGAAACAGGTGGAAACCGAGCAACAATATTGGAGGGCTGTCTTGAAAAGGGTGGTTATAACTGTAAAGTTTCTTGCATCTCAAGGACTGGCATTCCGAGGACAACAGGAAAACAAAAGTAATTATTTTCGATGTTTAGAATATCTGGCTGAATTTGATCCATTTATTGCAAATCATTTGAGTAAATATGGACATCGGGGACAAGGTTCCGTGAGTTACCTGTCGAACACAACTTGTGATGAAATTATTAATATAATGGGGGATAAATTACGAAAATCCTTTATCGAGGAAGTGAAAACAGCAACATATTTTTCTTTAATCATCGACTCTACGCCTGACATTAGCCATGTGGATCAGCTTTCCATTGTACTGAGGTATGTACTCCCCGACGGCCAGATTAAGGAACGGTTTTTCGGTTTCATAGATATTTACTCTCACCATTCTGAGAATTTAGAACACGTAGTTACTGAGACTCTGTCAAACTGGGGTATAGATATAACAAAATGCCGAGGCCAAAGTTACGATAATGCGGCCAATATGGCCGGTAAATACTCTGGATTGCAGGCACGGATTAAACAACACAGCGCTAATGCAGAATACATTCCTTGTTCCAGTCATAGTTTAAATCTCGTGTTGAATACTGCAGCTGAATCATCGCGTACTGCAATTTCATATTTTGATTTTGTTCAAAATCTATATGTGTGGTTCTCTGCGTCTACGCAAAGATGGAATATTCTTCAAAATCATCTCCGCAAAAATGCATGCTGCATACAAAGGGTGTCAGATACACGTTGGTCAGCTCGCGCAGATGCCGTTTTTGCATTATATAAAAGTTATAGTGACATTAGAAAGGCTCTCATGGACATTAGTGATAATCAACAGCATAAACTTGTAGCCAGAGTTGAAGCGAAAGGCCTTGTCAAAAAAATGAATTTATATGAGATAGCTATAATGACAGTTCTGTGGAACAAACTGCTTCAACGCATGAATGCCACTAGTAAATCATTTCAAAATCCAGAATTTTGTTTATCCACAACTGTAAACCTTTTAACATCTCTGAAAAGTTTTATATCTTCTGAAATTAGGAACGGATTTGATATTCTTGAAACAGATGCCGCAAGATTCGTTGAAGAAAACTGTATTTACCAGGATGAAGAAAAACGATCAAGGAAACCAAAGTTACCTTTTGATGAAAGTGCTGAAAATAATACAATTTTGAGTGGACGTGAAAATTTTATTGTTAATACCGTAAACATTATTTGTGATACTTTAATGGGAGAAATAGATAACCGAATCAAGGCATATACCGAAATTAACAACAGATTTGGATTATTTTTTAATTTTGAGCTATCTAAAATTGAAGTAAATTCAATGATCACAAAATTAATTACCATTTACACGGATGATATTGATGCTGCCGTAACTAGAGACGAACTACTTCAATTTTTGGCCTATGCTAAGGAGGAGTGTCTTTATTCGCCAATGAAAATGTACGAGCATCTAATACTATGCGGACTGAAATCAACTTTTCCGAACGTTGAAACGTTGCTGCGAATCTATCATACAATTCCCATAAGCAACGCATCCGGTGAACGCTCTTTTTCCGCGCTTAAAAGAATAAAAACTTATTTGCGAAATTCTGTTGGACAGGAGCGACTTTCAAATTTGGCTATTCTTCATATAGAATCTGAAGAAACAGGGAAATGCAATTTTGACGATGTTATTGATATATTTGCGAAAATGAAAATCAGAAAAAAGATGTTATAACTTTTATTAAAAAATATTTCATAGTATTTGTTTTATTTTATTCTTTATTTCATTGTTAAATTTTACCAAAATAAATTGTTAGAAAAGGGCCCCACAAAATATCTGCGCCTAGGGGCCACACATGGTATAAACGCGCCACTGATCCTTCTTCTTTGGCAGAGGGAGTACAAAGGATTTCTTCCAACAGTCCGGAAATTCCGAATTTAGGATGCAGTGGTTTACTATATGTGTAAATATACTCAATAACTTAGGGAGGCATAATTTAAGAATGACAATACTTATACCATCATATCCTACAGCAGCAGACTTTATGGAGTTGATATTATTTAAAACTGTGCACTCGTCAACAATATTAAACGAAAGTGAGCATTTAACAGACTCTTTCCGATTTGTATTGTAGAAATTTAATAAAGTTGCATTTTTATGTGATTGTGCGGGAATACTGTTAACAAAGTAATTATTTATTTCATCAGGGTCTGATAGGGTTTGAGGGATTTGAGTATTACTATTCTTACTACCTATATTTATATGCTTTAGTCTGCGCCATAAATCTTTACTATTGCCTTGCTGAAATTTGATATTATAATAAGCTTTCTTATCCTTAGTGATTGATGAGTTAACTAAATTACGCATTTGTTTGTAACTTTCCCAGTCTAGTGGGTTTTTAGTACGCTTATACTTCTGCAGTAAGTTGTTACGATCGCGCATCATTAGCTTGACATTATCAGTCAGCCACGGCGCGGGCTTTTTGCAAAACCTAGCCAATTTAAAAGGAGCGTGAAAATCAAGTAAAATATTGAGGTTTTCATTAATAAATGCCACTTTTTCATCAATATTGGTGCAATAATATATGTTATTCCATGGAATCATACATAAGTGATTGTAAAATAGACCACTGTTGAAATTTGTGTAATCTCTGTAGAGCTTGAATCTACTTAAACTATCGTCACCTCTATATAAACGTAAAGTACACCAAATTAGATCATGATCAGATATATGTGGAGTATGAATAATTCCTGAAACTTCGACGATGTCAACATTACTCGTGATGATATGGTCTATGAGCGTGGCAGTGGTGCGTGTGATTCTCGTGGGTTCACTAATTATTTGCTCTAGTCCATAGTTATTTAAAAGTCTGAGTAGTGCAGATGAATCATTACGATCATGCAAGAGCATATTAATGTTTAAATCACCTAAAAAGATAACATGTTCATGAGAGGGATACAGGACCGACAATTCGACATTCAGTGCATCCAAAAAGGTTTCATAATATAGACTTGGCGGTTTATACAGAATCCCAAAAGCCATTTTAGCTTTATCGAAACTTACCGAAATCCATAATTGCTCTATGGTTGGACAAGAAGGCAGTAATTTGTAAGTAATTCCCGTTTTAATATAAATTACCACCCCGCCTCCAGACGTATTTCTATCCTTTCACATAAGTGCATATCCATTGATAGAGATTAGCGAAGAAGGAATGTGAGATCCAAGCCTTGTTTCACTTAGACCGATTATATCAAAATTGTTGGATAATACTAGCTCCTTCAGAGTACTATAATGCGTGGTAATAGATCTTACGTTGATGTGTGCACATTTGAAAGTCATGCCTATAAAAAATTAACGTTAATAAATGGTAAATAAAGACAGAGATAGTAACAATAATAACGCAAACTGAGATTTTAGTCACTTCTCAGATGAAAGAAAAGATTTATTCTATATTTAATGTTTTCGGGATGCAACCCGCTCCTTAATATTATAACCTATTGTAAAAAAAATAGAGATTTTTTTGTTTGAGAAACATGAATACCTACGAAAAGAAAATGCGCATATGAATGAACATATAAGGAAATTAAAATTGTTAAAATTGTTTCTATATAGAGGTAATTAAAAAATAATAACAATTTTGATGACCAAAAGAAAAGAAAACTTCACAAACAGCCTATGCTACCACTAAGTTTTTAAATCACGTTCCGTTGTAATCAATTGCGCGGCGCTTCCAACACTTTTCCGAAGAAATATTTTGCCGTTCTTGACCCATAAAAATTGATAATTATTATCCTTTCGAAAAAGACGGCACTGGTGAAAGAGTTGTTTGTTTACGGGAGATAAAGATTCCGACACAAAGATGGGAGTCACCGGGAAATCCTTCATCGCTTCCAGAGCACGCATGTCCGCTGTAGATAAGTTTCTTCTGCTTTTGATAGATTTCAAATACAATTCTTTATCGTACCTTCGCACAAATTTTATAATTATGGGTGGCGGTTTATTACTAGCATTAGAAGAACGTAATCTATGTGTTGTGTCGATCATGTATGGTTCGCCGTTTTACTATTTATTATACATTTATAACGTAGGGGAAACTGGCCTAAAATGACATACTATTCATATAACAGCATAAAAACTAACTTTATTATTGAATTAGATTAACCCAAAGTTGGGAACCGATTCATTAATGTTGGAAGCATGTAAAAATAGTACCGATGAATACAAATCAATATTTATTTGTAAAAAAAAATGTTATATAAAACGCCACTCTATGTCATTTTACCCTAACATATTGGGGTAAAATGACATATTATTAGCTTTGACAAATATCGCATATAAAAATTTTTGTTTTTCTTCCAACTCCTGCGCATTCTGTATGACTCCATTTCTGGCACTGCTGGCAACGTATCCATGTTTCCCTGGACTTGGAAAAACTGTATAACTCATTGCAGAAGATACACGCTGCGTCGTCATCGTCATCTTCTTCATTGAGGAAATTGAAAAACTCGCCCTCGGTGTCAAATATTTTCTTTTTAACTAACTCTACTTTTCTCTCATTTTTTTTATTTTCTGCTTCCATTTTAGCCTCGTGCTTATTTTTAATTTCTTCCATTATGGGAGTGCGTGTTAATTCACCAGAAACCTGAGGTGTTCGCTTTCTTTTTGCTACTTCTTTTGCTTTAGGAGGTGGCGAAATAATCTCTAATGGAATGTTTTTCTTAATTTTAGGGTCAGGCTCTTCATTTTCATGTCGTGTTTCAAAGTTTTGTTGTCCTTGGTTGGAAGTCGTCGGTGCGTTATCATTTTCTGAAACGTTTTCATGACTGTTTCCAGCTGTTTGATTTATTACATCTTCTATAGGAAGGTCGGTTACTGCACTTGGTGAAAACATATGATCAGGGAAAATATCGGAGTCAAATGGGAAGATTCCCGTTTTTTGGAATCCGGATATTGCGTTAGCGACTGTAGCTGCCTTTCCATATGCTGCGGAGAATAACCTGGCAACCTGGAATTGAGTTACGATACGACCTGGATTCTGTTTCAACCATTTAGATACTTCTTGATTATAGTAGGTGGACAAAGGTCCAAAAAACGAAACGTCCAGTGGCTGAATCTTGTGGGTGCAGTGGGGCGGCAAGCATAAGAGTATAACATTATTTTCTTTGGCATACTTTAATGCCGGATAGTACTTATGGCTAACATGCCCATCCAGTACTAATAAAACTCGATTATCAGCAGACGGATGTGCATGTATTGTGAAGTGTTTTAACCATTTTAAAAAAAGCTCCCCAGTCATCCAGCCCGATTCTTGACATAACGCTAAGGTGCCGGTGGGCGCATCGTCGGCAAGCTCTGGCTTGAACTTCTTCCGCGCAAAAATAAGTGTGGGAGGTATAAACACACCTGTAGCACTCATGCAACAAACTACAGTTGAATCTCGTGTCTAGAGATACCAATTCTACTTTGGCTTTCGAGCTTCCGCATGCGCAATGAGCTTTATGTCGCAGCCGTTTAATGAAATTGGACATTTCATGAAAAGTCTAGACACTTCATGAAACTGTGGAACAGTTTACTTTCCAGGACCAAGCGATTGGATTCCCTTCCCATTAGAGATCGATAAATGGTATCCTTATCGATCTAGAAGGGGAAGGGAAATTACCCCACACGTACAAATTTTCAGCGTTTCACTAAATGACTAGGCCTCGGACTAGCCGTTTCATGAAATGTCCAATTTCATTAAACGGCTGCGACATAACCATTTCCAACAATAGTTTACAATGAAAACAGGTAGTGTACACGCAACCGCTCAATCAAATTTTTTAACGTTTACTCGGTTAAACAACTTACAAATAACCGTACCTGCAGTAAAACCAAAGATCATACTACACTAGATAGACAGCGCTGTATAAATTTTAGACTCTCATAATTTGTCCCGCCACATAAGTCGACTGCGTCCTCCAGCGGCTATGTTTTTATGAGAATAGTACAAACTACCTGGCGGGGTAAGAAGACGCGCGAAATGGCAAAGCACAGTTATTTTTAGAACACAACCTTGTGTGGGTGTTATAGATGTTTTATCTGGTTACCTTACTGTAAATTAAAATTCCGAATATTCACATCTTGTTTTAAATTAAATTTTTTATCGTAACACAACGAAGTTGAGGTAAAGCTTATGTGCTCGTGTTTCTGTCTGTCCGTCCGTCCGTTCCATCGAGATCTCGGCTCCTGGGCCACCTAGAGACTTCGGGTTTTCGCTAATTGATAGCCGTTATGGTCTATATTTGCCCATTTCGATCAGTTTCATATTTTCCATATTTTGCGCAGACTGTGCAATGCCAACTTTCATATTTATGGAGATATTTCTTTGAAATTATAACCACAGACGCTTCTAGTTCCGACTCACTTTAGCTGGATACAATTTTATTATGTAGGAGGCTAAGCGGGATATCTCGTTTATCCCAATCATAAAATGCTTAATTACAACAAATCTAAGTATCGTAGATACGTGAAACTAAAAGTTTTCAGAAATTATGCTAAGAAAAAAGACGCTTTTGCAATTATTAATTTAATCCGAAAATCTGGAAAATGTATTGGTTAGCGCTGGTTAAAAAAAAAGCAAAAGGAATATTGTGTACAACCTTTCAAATTATTTCTTTCATTGTAACGTCCTGTCTGTAATAGAATCTACCTTGTCTTGAATGACGCCCACGTACAAATGTAATTTTATCCCAATGATAGTGAGGAGTGTTCAGTAGGTCATGTTTATGTGTCTCGTGTTTAGACAATAATCACTCTTTGTATTTATGATATGATTCGAACTCGTACGAAGACGGCTTCGGATGAATCAGTTACGTTCTTAACTTTGAAAGCCCCCTATAAATATTTTTATGGAACTACTTAAACGCGAAACAACTCTTGCATATACGCTGGCTATCTAGTGTAGTATGATCTTTGGTAAAACGGACACAGCAACTGATTGCGCATGCGGAAGCTCCAAAGCCAAAGTAGAATTGGTATCTCTAGAGTCAGTTGAATGAGTGCCTCGCTCAGCGCTAGTCAATGAACCAACCTGCTTTTTTCCTGTACTTGCGAACACCTTCGGCGGTTTTTGCACAGTAGACAAGGCCGATTCGTCCATGTTGTAAATATTTTTTCCAAGAATATTGTAATGGGTATAAATATCTTGTAACTGTGCAAAAAACTTGGAAACTTGTGGCTTATTAAACCCTTGCGCGCGAGCAAAAGAAGTTGCCTCCGGAGTTCTAAGGGTTATTTCTGGATTTCTTCTGCGGAAACCCTGGAGCCAGTCATAGCCAGCTCTTTTTTGGACTCGAGAAAATCTATGGGGTATTTTATTAACATCAGCATATAGATATGCTAACTCTCTCAACTCGGTTGTAGTTACACCAAAGAACATTTCTTCCAATTTTTTAATATACATAACAAAATCTTTTTCAATTTCTCGTGGAAAGGTAACTCCGAAAGCACCCAAACCTTTGGACGTACACTTTCACCGTTTTATTTCTGTTTTGTGCGCGCCTGCGTAAAGTTGCTTGAGGCACATCAAACTGCTTAGCAGCAGCTAACCACCCCATCTCTCCATTTTTTACTGCCTCGATAGCCAGTCTCATTGATTCCTCACTCCACGACTGTCTTTCGGTTTTCCGCACATATTTCCCCACCATACTGCAACACAATAATGTGGTGGTAAGCATTTGGTGAAATAGATAAACAACAACATTCATGTATGGGTAAAATGACATACCTATGTCGTATCACCCCACATGAAGGTATGTCATTTTACACTGAATGACGTAAAAAGTTAAAAAAAATTGAAATATCTTAATTACCTGACTATACTTAATAGCTTGTGGGATATTCACAAAAGCACAAGTAGTATTTACTTAGGTCCAAATTTCACTTCTATAATAGTTTAAATAATACAATTTTCCTGTCTTTACATAAGCACACAATGAAAAGATGTTGGCGGCAATTTCACGTCTAGTTAGGTTATAGCTGTAACTGACTCGCTAGCGCTCTGTTAGTTAATACAAATGTGTTGAATTGTGATTACCGATGTATAGATGGCACCAGCAGTACCATTATTTGTTAATTGTATAAATTACACCAATGTGTCATTTTACCCGGGTATGTCATTTTAGGCTAGTTTCCCCTATATGAAGATATTTAAATAACAATTGAATTGTTACCAACAAATTCAACATCTCAAAAAAATGTTAGCCAAATGTAAGAAATGTTAATATGGATTTTAGCGTTTGAATCCTAAAACACTACAAAATGACAGAGATGAATATTAAACATTGCCAATTTAATTGTCATGCATCAAAATAAATAGCAATTTCTATAAAAGATTTAAACACATAAGGCATTTATTTGGAACTGTCCAGCTATACCAGAAGTGAAATACATTTGCTGCTGTGTGTAATTGAATTGATATTAAATAAAATTGAGTCGAGTATATTTGCATCCAAAAAAAATGTAAACCATTCTCATGCGTATATCAAATTAAATCGCATGCATTGAAATTCGTATATATGCACTTTAAGAACAAACGTTATTCCCCAGGCAGAACCGTACGTAATATAGACGTCGATGTTTCGTACCTAATTACGTCAAAATAACCATAATAATGACGTAAATAAAACGTAAATGTAACGTGCATAAGTCACAGCCCGATTACGTAAATTTTTACGTCCGTATAACGTACATTTTTACGTTATTATGACTTAAACTAATACGTCATTTTTCTGAATAATTAACGTAATTGAGACGTAAACCAAATTACCAATTTGGGACATAGGGGAAATTCAAACCATTAAAAAATTGTAGCTAGGTAATATCAATTTATTCAAATGTCGAGTACCTATAGTTACATTGCATGAAACCTACATAAAACAGAAACAATAACATTCTTACATTAACAAAGTTACAAAGTATGAAGCAAAGGTAGTGCTATTTGAGAACTCCCTGAAATAAGCAAAGTACATTTGCCAAGAATATCATTAATACTGTATGTTGACATTAACTCAGATTTATCACTAATTTCAAATATATTTAGTAATTTAGAATCAATAGGGTAGCTATAAAATGATTGGTAACATTTATATTCTTTTCCGAGAATTGTAATGTTTGAGTTGGGGTTGTATAAGAAATTACAAATTTCAACTACAAGTCCGTTTTTAGTTATGAAATAAGAATCTGCTGAACAATGTGATTTAATTGAAAGTGTGAAATCATTGATTTGAATTTTTTTGTACTGTTTTTCAAAATTAATATTTAAAATTGGTCCTAACTGATGTTCCATATGACATTGGACATCCTTTTTCAGGGAACTTGGAATTGTGAACATTTCATGTAGTCGTCTTTGAATTTGCTGTAAAGGTTTATTAGCAGATCGTACTAAAGCTTTTAACTTTCCTAAATAATTTTCATAAGGAAAGGACGAAATTGAATTTAAATCTCCAAATCTTTCTGCATCATCTGTTATATGTAAAAGAGAGTGGATATTATAAATATAAAACTGAAGAGTGTAAATTCTTTTGCAGTGTTTAACAAAGTGATATAAAAAAGTTCGCGGAAAACTTAGTCCAAATTGTTTGATATAATCTGCACATAGTAAAATTTGCATAGCACAATGCAAAAGTAAAAAATGATCATAAATTGCAATATCAATTTTATTTTTAAGAACAATTGGGCCAATGTATAAAACAAATGAACGAAATTCTGTCGCTTTCCAGTAAGAAAGCTCTGATAGTGACCTAGGTTTACGTTTTATTTCTACAGGAATACATTTTGCTAATGAAACTAACCGCTGCGACAATTCAGAAACAGTACGATTACTCAATCGAACACGTAAGTCACCACTTATCCATGTATTCAACAACTTTCTTACAACCCCTAAGCACACACAATGCATATAATCAGTAGGGAATGCGGTCACCATACCAATATTCAACTTTAACAGAGGCGAATCACCTGTATGGTGATCCTCATCCACTTTATTGCAAAAAGATTCATCAGTACGCTTTGGACAATCAAGCTCTTTTAATATTACTCTACCATTATAATAGTCACCTGCAACCGTACATTTGTCACAAGATGAATACCCACTATGGGACTTGATGCATTTTAAAAAAGCTCTAGCAGGCGCATCACAAACTATAGACCGAACTGTAACTGTGTAATGAATTTTGTTAAAAGTAAATCCCCTCTTTAACAGGTCCTTTAATTCACTGACAAAATTTTCCAAGTATTCTTCAATAGGAGTGGGTTTTGAACTACCTGCAAATATTCCCACAGCAAAGGGGTCATTTTCAAATTTAAAGATACTACATAGTATAGGCCACAATTGCATGCGATTACTCTTAAATAAAGGTATTCCGTCAATGTTAAAATTTAATGCCAAAGAAGTTGGTATTAAATTATGGCAATTATGTTTCACAATTTGTTTTTTCAAGCCTTCAACTAACCCCAAGTGACAGTATTCACCATTTACAAAATTCCTAGTGGTAGTTGTTCTTAAGGGGGTAGCTAATAGAGTTTTACTACAAAGTGGTAATTCACTATGGTGTGGAGCTAAAATTTTTAAAAGATCGTTTATTGCAGAGTGTGTTATATGATGTTGAGTAGCCCACAGTCTTAACTTTGAATTTATATTATTAGAATCAACATTAGAATGCATTGAACAGGAATCTCTATTGTCATTATTACTTTGCATATTATCCTCTATAATTTGAGTTTGGAAAGTATTTTGATCATCCAATAAACCGTTTGTAGTAACAAAGTCAATGTTATTGGAACTGTTGATCCCTAAATCACTGTTCTCTTGAAGTTCGCACATAAGTGAACTGTGTTCGATAGGTGAACTTGAGAGATCAAAATCAGTTGTTACAGACAAATGTTCCTGATCTCTCTGACAATCGGAAGAATTCAGTTTATTTTGTACTTTTGAAAGACTTTGTTGTACTGAAGTACTATCTGTCAGCAGGGCTACCTTAAATTCGTTTGCAATTCGCCTATACATCTGCCTTTTTCCAACACTACCTTTACGTCGTTTTAACATTATTAAGTATAAATTAAACTAAATGTAAATCTTAAGGTACGATTTTTACATAGGTACTTGATGAGGTTAAAAAATACAGCTTAAGTGTTAGATTCAACAGTATCCTTACTTTTTTTAAGCTTGCAACGTTGGGGTGCATGCTTCAACCACCCCTTTATTACTTGTTCGATGTCACACTCAACAGCCTGTGGTTGCTTTGCTTTTACTGCATCTTTGGCAACAAATTGTAAACAAAAGTTAAAAAAATAATAATTTAACTTACCAACAACGACCTTTTTTAAAGATAGTTGAGAAAATGGCTTTTTATTAGACCTAGTGCCCAGATAATTGTAACTACATGCCACACTATCGTTTATGACTCTCTTTAATATATTAGAAGTGGTGTCATTAATATTTTTTCCACCAAATGTAGATAAATGGCAACGCTGAAACAATAAAATAAATTATAATGCTACTGTAAATGCTAAAAAATTATTACCAGTAAATCGTAATTGTCCTGTATTGTCAAATACTGTTCCAATAGCTGAATTTCTTGTTCAGCATTGACCGGCAACTTTACAGGAAAATTTGCCGGTAGAGCATTTTCAAATTGGATTTTCTCTTGGGTCAATTTTTGCTGTCGCAGCAATTCTATTATTAATTTGTTTTGTTCTTTGATAAAAATAATATCATTGACTAATTTTTTTTGAAGAGCTAAAAAGAAAAAATACAAGATACTATACTTTATTTAGGTACCTACCTACATAAACAAGAAGCTAGAGTTGTATTGTTGTCATTGTGTGAAGATTGTGACGTGGAAGCTATGGATTGTTCACTACTCAGATCAGGAACAGGTTCGCAGATCTCTAATTGCCTTGGAGATGGTACATGTCTTACTACTTTATACCAATAACATACGCATTAAGTAAAATAATCCAGTTTTAGGTCACACTTACTTTGTTTGTTTAAGTTAAGAGTAGGTGGCCGAGGAAACTTTGAAGTTTGTTCTTCGTCACTACTACTTGAAAGTAGTCTACGAGAAGGTGCACGTTTCCTTTTTTGAAATTTATCTTGGTCTGCATCACCTTGACTTCCAACCTCAGCCTCACTACTTTGTAGATCAGAAGTATATTCGGCCCTCGGTAACTTCCTTTTTACACGTTCATAATCGTCTGTTTGATAAAAGTATTTATTAGGGTTCTGTATACTATACTATCGATATGAAATTCATAACTTCGATCAGCATGTAAGCTGCTCTAAAGTTACTTGGGTAATTATAAACAACAGCTCAGCTTCGGTTTACGCAACTATCTATAATGTTAATGACATTATAGGTAGTTGCGTAAGCCGTGTGCTACATATCGGCCTAATCCCATTCATTACTAATTTTGTACTTCGCAATTCGTCTTGACAGTATTATGGTATGGAAAAGTGTATCGTTATGCTTCTCATGACTTAAAACCATGCAATGTGCCAAAATGCTTCCACAGTTTATTCATATTACCAGTATCTAAATTTATAAAACGTACCTGACTCAAATAAGGTGCGCCGAACGAAACAAAGCTTCCACTTGTTGTCGATTACTTGATCTTCATTTAGAAGAACCTTTTCAAATGTTTTTGACTGTTTAGTAGGTGGCCAAAACGCTTCTTGTTTGCGAGGGGTAAACCACTCTGTCCGAATAATGGCCAAGCCTCCTCCAGACTCCTCTGCAAATTCCACTAATGAAAACATTTCGCCCTGCAAATAATAATCGAGGCAAATGGTCATATTGTACGTAAATTAATTAACTAACATACTTATCAAATATTTTACATTTACCTTTGCAATCTAATTATGATTACCGCAATAAAACGTGATTCACATCAACACCCTAACCTAACATTACATTGGAATGGCGCGAATGCGTAAAAGGTGCCACGATGCCAGCTTGCTTCAATGCGCGTGTAAGATAAGATGTTGCCGTTTTCAGGTATTGTTTCTTGTACTTACTCTTTCGTGTCATTAGATTTGAATCAAATCAATTTATTTTCACGAATTTTGAATTTTGATACAATAATCAGAAGTTTTAGAATTTATTTTATCACATAAAAACATGACGTTATTGCGACCGAAAGATAACGTAAGTATATTACGTAATATTTTGGTGTTTTTGTTTACGTAATAAATACGTCCAGTTTTGGGAAATTTACGTCTTCGTTTGTAATTTACGTCACACCGACGACTTAATGACGTACTGTTTCTGCCTGGGTCACGTATGGGATTAAAATAGATACCCGTTGCGACATTACCTATGGAAATGAAATTATTCGTAAGGTATGGCATAAAAATTAAATCGAAGGTTAAGATGTAGCATTGAATTCCAATGAATTTAATAGTGCATCTTTTAATTTAAATGAACGTCGAATTATTTTGTGAATCATTTCTATGCGAATGCGATACACCGCATTAAAATACAGCGCATTTTAAATGTGCTTATACATACAATGGAAATTCGGTCTGCATAAAATGTAACGCATAAGAATAAGACACAAATTTAATGTATCAAATGAAAATGGTATGAATGAAAACTACTCTGCATGCAAATGCGCAGTTACGTTAGAGAAGGAAAGTAGCCGTAGGTCGTAGGTATGTTTTATTTGCGGTTGCGCAAAAACAAAACAGCTGTTATTGATTGTTACTTACATCGAACGTATAAATGGATTATTTATACGTTAATCAATTTTGAGAAGGCAAGCGATTTATTGGGTTATTTACTGTCGGTCACACGTGACCTTTACAGTTTTTACGTACATATTCGGTAAGTCCAATTTTACGATTCCTTTTATGATAACAGTAAACAATGAATGTAGGATTTGCACCTGCTGCGCAATATTGTTAATATAAAGCAAGAAAAAGGCCGAAGGAAATCGAAAGATGTGCAAGAGGCGCCGGGTCCCCTTAACAACAAATTGGAGGTGTACGCTGTCGCTATAAAAATAGGTAGGTAATCTCAAATTTCACTTATTCTTACCTGTAATGCAAATTGAGTGAACAGTTCTGCCGTGCCATAGTGAAACCTAGTAACTCGACCTACTACAGAAATGACATTTTTGAATTTCCTATATCTACAAACCGAGTTCTACCTAATGCTATTAAAAACATTTCAATCGAGTGAATGGTTGCGAAGTTATTAGCTATCCCAATTTAGTATGTCTAGTTGGGTATCGGATAAATTAGATAGAAAGTCTATTTACTTGGTTGATTTGGTTTTTCCTTAATACGAACCTTCTTCTTGACTATCGTAAAACCTAGTAACTCGACTTACATCATTTACGTAATGGAATTGTACAAATTTATCATTGTGGCAATTACTTACTATTGTAACATATTCATATTTACAATAATAAAACATCTTAAATCTACTAAATAAAACTAAAACGAACAAAATTCCAATAAAGTACTATCGTATATCGAGTTGTCGGGATTAAAAGTAGCAATATTGCACATGCGCAAGTATATTTACACTTGATTAATTAGAATAGACGTTATATATTTCACTTGAGTGTCGGACGTCAACCGGGTTGGAATTAAGACGTGTATCTTGTGAGTGGAGAAAATGAATCGAGGGCAAAAATTGGTAAATCTGGCCGCTGAAAGCAGGTAAGCATGTCTTATTACGTCATAGCAAGGCAGAAAATCTATTAACGAAATGTAACGTCAATTTCTTACGTACTTGAAGTGTACTATTTAGGTAAATTCTCTTATCTTCCAGAAATTATACCGTAGATGAGATTACGAGAAAATCAGTATTGGAGGAATCTCCTTCACCTATGGATGATTCAGACGAAGATCCGGATTTTGATCCAGACAAGCCCGTCAAACAAAGCGGCCGAAAAGAGATTCCGAGACATTTTACCCAAAAAGATCTTTCCTTAACGAATAATTTACATAAAAAAGAACCACAACGAAAAAAAAATAAACTATGGCAGTATACTGATCAGACTATGATCTTTCCAAGTCCCGAGCCTTGGGAAAGTGAAGGTTTGAGAAATGTAAGTGATTATACCGATCTTGTGCTTCAATACTGGAAGGAGAATGTAGACAACACACCTTTAGATGTACCTGACGAAAGAAATGAAACTGTCACACGCAAAAAAACTAACAAGAACAGCAAGATTTCAAACGATAAACTAAGGTCACCATGTAAAACGAATTGTAGAAGGCGCTGTAGAGAACGAGTATCAGAAAATGAAAGGCGGAAAGTATTCGAATATTTTAATAAACTTGAATTCTCGAATAAACAATTACTTTTGGACAAATACATACAAAAAAAAGAAGTAAAATACCGGAAGGTCGATGCAGAAAAGAATAAAAAATTTACTGTTTCCTATACACTTCCCACGTTTAAAGAAGAAAATAATTCGTCTGACTCTATTGTCGCCGAAAGCAGTTCTAGATGTGGACCGATTGTTGTGTGTAAAGAAATGTTTCTTCGTACTCTTGGGAAAAAATCAGATGGGATGATCACCTGCTTCCTACAAAGGACGGCCAATGATCTTCCTAATCTTCAAGATAAACGAGGAGCGGCCCACGCCAGAAAAATGAAAGAAGTTGCGTCAGAAAACTACAATGTAATTAAAAACCATATAGAAACATACCATCCCCAGGTATCGCACTACAACATTTCTCACGCTCCACACAGAAGGTACCTTCCTCCGGATTTATCCATTCATCAAATGCACAAGGATTTTAGCTCAAAAATCAAGACTGTCAGCTACGAGACGTATAGGAAGGTTTTTGAAAAAGAAAACATTGGCTTTTCTGCACCCACGCAAGATGACTGCGGTTTGTGCGCAGTGTATAAGCAGCATGCCCATAAAACCGACGATCCTACGACGGAAACTTCTAGTCAAGAAGAGAAAGAGCAAATTGATCCAAATGTCTCTTCTAATGCGAAAAGCGATTGTGATACTTGTGAGAAATACCAATTACACAAAAAAAGATATACTATAGCTAGACAGATGTACACCAAAGACAGTTCAGGTGGTTTCGATAATGATACAGAAATATATGCCGTGGACATGCAGAAAGTTTTACTTCTACCGAAGATGTCAACCAAGGATTCATTCTTTGTTAGTAGGTTGGTGGTTTTTCATGAAACCTTTGCTAATTTGAAATCAAAAGGATACAACAAATGCATACTGTGGCACGAGGCTATAATGGGTCGAAACGCAGCTGACGTCGCGTCAGCGTACTACAACGTGGTCACGAAGTTACAGAATGAAACAAAGCACTTAATCTTCTGGTGCGATAACTGCACCTCCCAAAACAAAAATTGGACACTTTTTACGGCCTGTATTACATTTGTTAATCAAGATTGGGGTCCCGAAAGTATAACTTTTAAATACTTTGAGCCGGGGCATAGCTTCATGAAAGCTGATTCAATACATGGACAGATTGGCAAAAAGTGGAGTAAGTCAAAAGAGATTTTGGACATGGAAGACCTTGAAAAACTGATGAAGTCTGCAAATAAGTTGAATGAGGTAACAACATTAAGGTTTGACGACTTTAGAAAATTTGAGAACGGATGCATGCAGAAAAAGAAAACCAACTGTATGCCAAAATTGAATGATATTAAATCGGTACTATTTAAAAAGGGGTCCACCAAGATTTTTTATAAGTGCGAACTTGAACATGAAGAGTTCCAAGAGGCGACGGTTCTTAAACCCAAGTTTAAACCACAAATTCCCGAAAAGCAGGGCGCAGATAGGGGAATCAATACAAAAAAAAAGGAGGCTATTTCAAAAGTATTGTTGCCTTCTATGCCTTCTAGGAAGCAGATGTTTTGGCAGAACCTTCCAAATTTTGATGACAAAGAAGATCTTGGAAAGTCAAATGCAGAATTTGTTGTTTAGAGTATTATTTGTTCCTTATTTTGCTTTTTTCTAAAGGGTTCCTATTTTTTGTTTGTATTTTATATATATGATACATAGTTACGTTGTTAAGTATTGTTTTGTTTAAGTTTCGTTTCACAATTTACTAATACGGAATAAACTTGTCCAAATATTTGAGCATTTAATTCATTAAATCACTTCATTTGATTGACATGATGCGTTAGCGAGATCTATGTCCACTAGTAAGTCGACTAGCTAAAAACAACAGAATTATGTTTCATTTTTTTTATGATTCATTCGACTTACTAGGTTTTACTTTCAACAATGGTGAAAAACTATAGTGATTTTGACGAGTTACTGCGATTTGTTTAGTCAAACAGGAGTAGTAAATAGAGCAACTCGACTTGCTTGCTTTTACTTTAGCATATTACCTGTCGTACCCTAACCTAGTAACTTTTTTTTTTAATTTTTTCGGTTTCTTTTCGAAAATATACACATGTTAAGTTAAAATTTGAATTCACAACAAAATTATTAATAAATTTGTTTTATATTGACATTGTGTGTGGTATAGGAACAACGTTACAAACAATTAACTTTTATAAACTTTCAACGCGTATACCCACAACTTTGAAATTTTGAGTTACTAGGTTTTACTGTGGTACGGCAGAGTTACAGGTTCGTGGGAATTAATAATGGATAAAGAGTCCAGAGATAAACCGTTAATGGAACGAAGCTCATGTTCTACGACTCTTGTAAAGAACAAGCACATCGACAAGTTGATGCTCCTTCGTAATGGAAATTGTGTCGAGTGCAATCGTGATATATCTAACACGATAAGTTAAATATGTAATCTCCATTGAATGAGAGATTTGTATATTTACAAGATGCTAACACATGTACCTGTGTAGAAACACGAGCACGTGAGACATTGTTAGACACGTATCTCTTTCTGTTTGATGGGTGCACCGTAGTATGTAATCGAAGACGTGTCATTCGCTAACAAAGTTACACAAAGATTGTCAAAAAAATTTGTATCCTGATAATTAAACGATTATCCTCTTCGTCATCTGGAAACGTTTTATTTCAAAAGTGAACCACACACCGAGAAATGTACCTAACTTCCCTACATACCAAAACGCAGATTGAAAGAGAAGTCCTCGCAGGGATGATAGAAGCGTAGTTCCTCTTAAAAACCCCTGTTAAAGTTTTTCTAGAAATGCTCCAGAATTTGAGAAATTAATTTTTTTGACCTGGCATATATTTCTAAATAGAACACCTAACTTTGACATCGCATTAAAGAAGTTACAGAGAGGTTAGAAGAAAATCCCCTATAGGGGCTATAGAAGGGATGTTCCTCTTTAACACCCTGCTCGTGGTTTTTCTGGAAGTGCCCTAAAATTCGAGAACTTAATGATTAAGGGTATTTGGTCATTCTTTTAAATGTGAACGTTGTGATTTTGGTCATCTGTTTTGCTCATGCGGGAGCTGTGGTTATGAAGCCGATTTTGTGTAATTGTTGCAGTTATTCACATTAAAGCCGGATTAAACTGAATTAAAAACCGTTTTACATTACACAATAAATGAGCCAAAAAGTTGTATAATTTTTTTAGACAAAAAATGTTGTAGGAAATATGTTGTGTGCGAAGTTTGTCCGTTTGATATACATACAAAATTTATTGTACGTGATCATGCGCAGTTTAATTGTTTGTTATTTTTATTTTCATAATGAGTAGTTTAAAGCAAAAACTTTTAATCACTGTTGCTGTTGTAAGTTCTGTATTACTGGTCAGACAACTTAGACAAAGGCAGTGCAGTAGAAAATTAAAAAAGAAAAACCGTAAAACTTGGCAAGAGAAATTGTTGCAACGAAGAAACGCAGGCAGAGGTGTTTTAAACATGCTCCACAATGAATTACGCATTGAGGATCCAGAAGCTGTGAAGTGTGAAGTGTGTGTGAAGCCATTCCACACGATAACGCATGCGTACTTGAGAAATTGAACGAAAAATTGTATGAAAATAGAGCATGTTCTAAATATCTTGAACAATTTGGATATCGCATACAATTTTCCGTTTGATATTACACAATATTTCTAGGCTCAAAAATTCTGCAACTTCTTGTGCAATTTATTGTGTAATGTAAAACGGCTTTTATAGTTCCGTACCCGCAACGCCGTACCGTAACGTTTGGAATGAAACCCTACTTGTTGCGCGTGAACATTTATAGTTCGAGTTAACGTTGCGTTAGAACGGTTACGGTACGTATAGGAAATGCCCAAATCTTATTTCTTACGGTAAATCGTGCTAATTACTGTAAATAAACGAAACGAACGTCAGGATAAACTCAACTGTTTGAATTATCCGAGTACCATCGAAGACAAGCGCGTTAGCGCGATTTACCGTAAGGAATAAGATTTGGACATTTCCTACGTACCGTAACCGTTCTAACGCAAGGTAAACGGGAACTATAAAGCTGAATTTATAGTTCCGTACCCGCAACGCCGTACCGTAACGTTTGGAATGAAACCCTACTTGTTGCGCGTGAACATTTATAGTTCGCGTTAACCTTGTAGTAGGGGAGCTAGCACGAAATCCACTCAACGAGAATGATCAAAATTTTAACTGATGGTGTTCCATTTTGCCCTATCAGAGTATGCTAAAATCGATCGTCTGCCGCCTCAGGTCATACGACTTAAGGCGCTGCGGGTACTTCTTGTGCTACCAATTCTGAAAGGTTGTTTTTCGAGAAAATAAGTTATACACCAAATGAAAACGTTGATAATAGCTCTTAAAAAAATATTTAAAAAAATCGCGCACATTTGATAACTCCGTAAAAAACAATTCTTAGTCGGTTTTTCACGAACTTTCTACGGATATAACTAGGTTACCGTTGGAAGAATGAAGCTGATTTTTTTTACAGACTAATGATAGGTACAGCCAATGACTATGAGAGTGTTTCTTTTTTAAATTTTTTCTCTAATTATAAGATATCTTATAATGTTAAGATAATAAGATAATCTTGTAATTAGAGAAAAAATTTAAAAACGAAACACCGTTAAGTCATTAGTAGTACCTATCATCAGTCTGTAAAAAAAATCAGCTTCATTCGTTCAACCATAACCTAGTTATATTCGTAGAAAGTTCGTGAAAAACCGACTAAGAATTGTTTTTTTACGGAGTTATCAAATGTGCGCGATTTTTTTAAATATTTTTTTAAGAGCTATTATCAACGTTTTCATTTGGTGTATAACTTATTTTCTCGAAAAACAACCTTTCAGAATTGGTACCACAAGAAGTACCCGCAGCGCCTTAAGTCGTATGACCTGAGGCGGCAGACGATCGATTTTAGCATACTCTGATAGGGCAAAATGGAACACCATCAGTTAAAATTTTGATCATTCTCGTTCAGTGGATTTCGTGTTAGCTCCCCTACTATTGCGTTAGAACGGTTACGGTACGTAGGAAATGCCCAAATCGTATTTCTTACGGTAAATCGTGCTAACGCGTTTGTCGTCGGCAGTACTCGGATAATTCAAACAGTTGAGTTTATCCTGACGTTCGTTTCGTTTATTTACAATAATTATTGACACTTTGTTGGTTATTATTATTTTGAAATGCACGTTACTCTTACTGACAGATGACATACAATGACAGATCTCGTTTCGCACTAATGCGCCAGCTCATCTCTTACCACTACGGTAACTATAAATCGTATAATTTTCGTTAACGTAAGATTTTACGGTTCCGTTCTTACGTTCTTACGGCTACGGAACTATAAATCCGGCTTAAGTTTTTGTGGTCCTGTACGTGTATTGTACCTGTTAACGGTAATTTCTATTTGTCAGCCACTTCCAAGCAAATTCAAGTCCACGGCTTAGTAGTCACTGTTATGGAGGTGGTTAGAAGGCCTATTTGTGTAATATATTTATGGGGCATTTACAAAAATTGGAGCTGTAGATCCCGGTATATATACCGTAGCGTTCGAAAATGTGATAGGTAATTATTTTAGAGTGTTCTTTTATTACCATATGTACCGATCACATTAACGGAATGGATCACTAATTGGAGTGTATTCATCTGGTTGGTCCACGCGCGCCACTAAAAAAAGGTGCAAGAGTTGTAACCTCACTTTGCAATCTTTTTGGCTTTCCTTCAATAATTATCAAGAGGACTTCCGTTGTGTACATTTTTTGTTATATTCGAAACCTTAGATCTTACGAAACACTTTCATGGTAGTAAGTATATGCTAATGTAGCCTTGTAGGTATATGATGTTTATCTCAGAGTAAGAAATAAAGATAGAGATTCCTTGATGCTTATCAAAACGCGCCATAATGTCGTCGTGTTTGTAAATATTGCAGGAAGCGAACTTGTCACATTTCGCGAGACCATTTTTTAATTAATATTAATAATAGATATATTAGAAAGGATCTAAATGGATTTTTAAATATTTATAAAGGTGGTGAAAAACAAACTATTATAAGTTGAAATTAAACGGCCTAATAAGAAAATTTAAGATAATTAGTGTGTCACGACAGCAACGCTGTAGCGATTTGACAGATGAAACTATCTGTTTATTTCTAAAAATCGTAATTTTCGGCATTTTTAGTTCATTTTATAGATTGAAACTTATTCCATTGTGTTTAATAATTTATCAGCACCCTTTGACATGGGGAAGGGTGTTCTGTTTGTGGAACTAGTGCAGTTACTAAAGTTTACCTTTTCTCCTCTCAACTTAAGTATGTAACCGTGGGTTATGTTCTATCAAAACCATTGAGCTCTCAATGATCAATACAAACGTTTGTGTTATAGCGTATGTGTCCTCTATCTTTGTTTCCTACTCTATATGTTTATAAATTTATGCGCTACATTTACACAAAAGCATTGTTCTATAAACAGGCATGCACCAAAGTTACCGCATCTAATCAGTCATCATCAAATGTTTACCGACATTTACCATCGTGGATCTACCGCTCCAGTTTTCGTAAATGCCCGCTGTCGGTACCCATATTACAGTGACTCTATAAAGACAGTGTGGCCATATGCTCATTTCCGCCATTTTTCCCAAATTTATTATTGAGC